AAGAGAAATATATAAGTTTTAAATTACTTTGCGACAGCATAGGTTTTGCTTTATAAAGTAGACCTATGTTTTTTGATATTTTAGTGTTTAAAGCATTTATGTGACTTTTCCAAGATAAATTTTCATCAATTATAACTCCTAAAAATTTAGTTTCGTGAGTTCTCTCAATTACTATATTTTCTATTTTTAGAGAGGGTAGAATATTTGGTAGTGTGTTTCATTGTTGGTTTGAGTGAAATAAAGTGTATTTTGTTTTTTCTATGTTTAGGGGTAACTTATTTGTTTTAAACCATATATTTAATTTTTGGAGTTCTATGTTTACATTATCATACAGATCCTTGATGTTTGTCGAAGAGTAAAATAAATTTGTATCGTCTGCAAACATTATAAATTCAAGTTTGCTAGAAACTTTTGGAAGGTCGTTTATATAGATTAGGAACAAAAGAGGAGCAAGAATCGAACCTTGAGGAACACCACAAGTTAATTTTAATAATTTACTGTGGTAAATATCATCTGTAATAACACACTGTTGTCTGTTATACAGGTAACTTTTTACTTAAACCACTTAAACCACTGCAGTGTATGGTTAACTTAAACCACTGCAGTGTATGGTTTTTTAATCCGTATTTTTTCAACTTTTTTAGTAGGATTTCATGATTTATTGTGTCGAACGCTTTTGACAAGTCTACAAAGACTCCTAATACGAACTTCTTTTCATAGATTGATTCACTAATTCTATTGACGAGGTCTACGATAGCATGCTCTGTCGATTGCTGAGTTTGAAAACCATATTGGTTTTCATTCAGGATTTTGTTTGTGGTTAGGTATTTATATAAACGATTGTAGATTATTCGTTCGAGCAGTTTTGAAAATACGGGAAGGATTGATATTGGTCTGTAATTATTTAAGGAAGATGTATCTCCGGATTTATAGATAGAAATAGTTTTAGCTATTTTTAAATAGTCGGGTACAATTCCTGTAATTATTGAAGAGTTAAATATTTGAAAAATGGGTTTACTTATTTCTGGGAAGACATTCAAAATAATATTGGCTGGGATATTGTCGATACCTGGACCTTTGTTAATTTTTAATGTTTTAACTGCTGTTTCAAGTTCTTCGTATTCTAGTTCTTTAAAAACTAGGGAGCAACGAGAGTCCTCGATGTAATTCTCAAATGAATTGTTTGTAGGTTGAATTTTAGAAGCGAGTTTGGAACCTATACTTGCAAAGTATTATTAATAATATAATTTTATTATTAATAATACTTTGCAAGTATTATTAATAATAAAATATTAATTTTATTATTAAGAGATAATTTTTTTATTATTAAACTCTTTTTCACTTATGAGAACTTTTGGAGGTAGTTGGTTCGAGTTTTTTTTATCTTTACCAATTATTTCTTTTATAATATCCCAGATTTTTTTATTATCCCCTTTAAATTTTTGTATTTGCTTTGAAAAATATAGTTTTTTGGATTTTAATTTTATTTTTTCAAATAGATTTTTATATTGTTTATACTTAGACAAATTAAAATGGTTTCTATTTTTTAGATATTTTATGTAGAGTTTTTGTTTTTGTTTTGACGATTTTCTTATTCCTTTAGTAATCCATGGAGTGGTTAGGTATTTTGCTTTAATTTCTTTTTCGACCTTTGGAAAATGTTTATTGTAGAGATTTAGGAAAATATTTATAAACTTATTGTGAGCGGAATTTGTGTGTCCGAGGTTACATTCATGATATATTTTTGACCAATTTACTACCACTAGTGAGTCTTTTAGTTTTTGGGTCGAGAATTTATTTATGCTTCTTTTGATGATTTTTATTTTCAAGTTATTGACACGTGTTGCTTGTTGTGATAGCGAGAAGTAAATTGGGAAGTGGTCAGATATATCCGTTTTAATTATTCCTACTTTTAAGGATTGATCTTGAATTGAATTTGTCAATATATTGTCAATAGCTGTAATTGAGGTGGAAGTTACCCGGGTGGGTTTGTTTATAATTGGGAAAATGTAATGCTGTATCATATCATCGAAAAAAATTTTGGTATTATTTTGGTATTATTAGCGTGTTCATGATAGTTTAGGTAATTTATGTTCATGTCACCAATACACATAGCTTTTTATGTTCAACATTGCTTGTTGTATATATTTGTTTCATAAAACTTGAAAACATTATAATATCTCCATCGGGCGGTCTATAACAAGAGGATATTAAGAGATTTTTTGTAGTATCATTAATGACTTCAACTGTAAAGACCTCACTATTTGAATCAGAAATAGAAAGATCATTTCTAATTTTTGTGTTTAAGTCATTATGGATGTAGGTTATTATTCCACCTCCTCTTTTGTTAGCTTTTCTTTCATAAGAAATAAGATTATAATTAGGGATTAGGAGGTTTGGATTAGGAGGAAATTTGGATTAGGAGGAAATAACCACTGATAGCTGTAACTTAAACATTAACAGAAAAGATGAGATTGGCTTATGGGAACATCTTTTTGAAGACGATATTTTGGTTTGAATTTCAAAACGACCAAAAACTATTTAGAACATTGATAATGATTTCTATGGATCAAAACAGTTTTACAACAATCACGATCGCTTTTGTTCAAAATCTTTTTTCAAAGGCCTAAAAATAAATGGTGAAAAATACAATCGTGAATGATTGATTTACTCGTCAGCAAAAGAAAATCTTTACTACTTTGTATGCAATGTTCTTAAGATTTCCTGTTTTTTTCTTGCTTCAACTAGTTTGAGAGACTGGTAAAATGCTGTTTTTTCTGTTAAAAAGCCACGAAAATTTTGCATATCACAGAGAAGCCTTAATGGCTTATTTAATTAGAAGTTACAACAAGTTAGACAACAAACTTGAAGAATCAAAAGAAGAACAGCAATATTGGAGGTTTTGAAGCGTGTGATTGGAGAATGGTTTTGAAGAGTGTGATTGGAGAATGGTTTTGAAGCGTGTGATTGGAGAATGCTTTTGAAGCGTGTGATAGCTGTAATTTGTTCTTCATTTAGAGGTTCCAACAAAATGTTTGGAAAACAAAGTAATGGAAATTTTCTTGGACTTCTTGAACAGATTGCAAAATTTAATCCATTTTTATCAAAACACATAACACGTTACGGTTAAATTGGTTCAGGAAAAACTTCATACTTGAGTAAAACAGTTTGCGATGAATTGGTTTCTTTAATGGCAAAAAATGTTCTAAAAGTCAATATCTGATATAAAAGTTTCAAAATATTTTGAAATTTCAGTCATTTATCTTATCACGATCAACTTTTGGAATATTAAAATTTTGAATTAATTGATAGAGTTGAAGCGCAGAATATTGTATCAAAAATAGAAGAGTTTGAATTTGCACTACAAACAGTTTTCTGGGATTTCTAAAAAGAATATACTCAGTGTCAAAAGCTTTACAAGATCCAAAAATAACATTAGATACATATTAAATAAAGAATCATAAATTACTATTATGAAAACTGTTTGTACTCATGCAGTACAAACAGTTTTATGGGATTTCCAAAATGAATAAACTCAGTGTCAAAAGCTTTACAAGATCCAAAAATAACATTAGATACACGTTATTTACTTCTATCTTCGCTTGCAGATTACATTTAGAATTTGAAAGACGACTACGACGGTTTTGAAACTGAAATTTTACTTCCTGATACAGAATATTCATATAGAAAAAATTGAACAAAGATAAAATTCTTTGATAATCTAAACCATGAAAAATGTGTCTTGGTATTTAGTTTTGATAAAGTTATGAAATTACCAAATTTCATCAAACAAAGACATATCGATATCTTCATGATATTGTTCGACAATTTTTTCATAATAAGTCCAAAAGAAAGGTTTCAGATTTTTTTTTTTTTTATCAAAGTCGTTGAAGCAGTTCACTCAAATTTGAATAAAAGGATGATTGTATATCAAGAATCTAATACATTTTTGGATTTTTGATTAATGTGAACTTCGATAAAGCGAAGCTGAAGAAAAATTTTGAAAAAAATGTTGAACAATATCATGAAGATATCGATATGTCTTTGTTTGATGAAATTTGGTAATTTCATAACTTTATCAAAACTAAAATATCAAGAAACAGCTATGATTCACTTATTCATTTATAAGCTGATAAAAGAAAAAAACTTAAAAATTGCATTTCCAATTCTTGATACAGTTTTGAGAATCATTTTGCTTTATTATGACAAATTGTTCCGGTGAAAGATGTTTTTTAAAACTTATATTAATCAAAGCCTTTTTGAAATCAAATATGAATGAAAATTCTTATAAGTAAAAAAATTCTTAAAATTTACTCTTATGCCAGGAGCGGGTTTTATCACACGCCAAGGTGGGGGCTAAAAAGGTCTTAAAAAAAAAAAAAAAAAAGGTCTGCATATTTTCATTTTACAATTGAAAATTGATTCTAGAGACTCACTTAAATACATATTTGCAAATAGCGATAATTATTAATTGAGTTAAATTTATTATATTTAGTTTTTCTTTTAAATTAAATTGTTGTTTGCGTATTAAATTTTTGAAAAACATATAAATAAAACATATAAATCTTAAAAAACATTTTTATTTTGTAGTTTTCCAAACGATTAAAAAAATGTTACATAAATGTTAAAACAAACTTTATGTTGTTCAAAATTTATCATAACACAAAAATTTAGGATGAGTAACTTTATTAATGCGCTTAGATTTTTTATATGAATTTTTCAAGTTCAAAAAAATTAAGGTATGAAATAAAAAACATAAGTATAAAAATAATTAATAAATTTTTCAATTGTATATTATCATTAATTAGTAATAAATAAATGTTATTGACAAATTTTAAAATTCAAAATAAACCTTTTGATTTTCATTTTAAAAAACTGGATATTACAATTCTAAACATTCTGTATGGTGCGTGTGTCTACGTACGCGTGTGCGCGTGTTTGTTTTGAAAGCCTGTTGCGCATGCGTTATTAACGGCAATAATACGTGTTATCTATCTTACAAGATGGTTACTTGAGAAACAGCACTTGTTGATGTGCTTTTTGTAAAAGATTTCATATAATACTATATTGATGTATTTATCTTTTCTGAAAAACTTATTTTTATTTAAAATTTAAATTTATTTGCAATTTTGTTATAGACATAACTTTTGAAAATAATGAAGTTATGAATTTACAAACAGATGATAACGATGAATATAATTCCTTGAAAGGAAATGATTGTAAAACATCTGTTTGTAGAATTTGCTATGGAAGTTCAGAAGAAGAAGAGTTAAAAACTCCTTGTAAATGTTTGGGTAGTGTTAAGCATATTCATCAATCCTGTCTTATGAATTGGCTTCGAACTGGTAATAATCATTGTGAAATTTGTAACACTCCATACAGGTTTCATAGGACAACTCTGCCTTATAATCAAGTGAGTAAATTTACAGGTGATTTTTAAATTACTATTTAAAACGAATTCATTTACCAAAATTTTTCTGAAAGATCCTAAAAACACATTCACCCTAAAGCAGTATTGCAAAATTTTATTGTATCCAACAAACTACAATAAGCAATAAAATAATAAAAAATAAGCAAACTACTATAAGCAAAAGAAGTTATGCACCAGTTTTTTAGAAAGTGTCATGCAATTATTTGAATAAATTTTACTAAATAATAAATTAATTTACTCTTCTACCCACCCCAAAAGTAGGAGTATAATCTGGTTAAAATCATAAATATAATAAAAAGTTTTAAACATAAAAAAACTTTCAATGAAATAATTAAAACAGCATCTGATGTTTCCATTATAAAAATTCATTTTTTAAATATGCTTTTTATGTTTGTATTGTTGTTGTATCTTATTATTATTAATTTTATTGGTTTCTTCCAATCATTATTTGACTATCTGATTGCACTTATAATTGAACTTTTTTAAAATATTTTCTTCGCTACTATAAACATATTTCTTAAACTTGTATTATCTCTCATTTAGCGTTGATCTAATTGGGATTTAAAAAGTAATAGAACAGTAATACAACCAAATAATGTAAATAATATTTTATGGTTAGTTTTATATTGGAATGAATTATATTACAGAAGTCAATTTGCCAAAAAAAGATATTTCAACAATTGCATATTAGCAATAAAACAAAAACTTAAAAAGTCTGTTTATAGCTTTTATTGAATTAGTAGACATATTTAAGCATGCTGAATACACACTAAGTAAACCTGCTAAACTAGTTCCATCAAGTGTTAAGTCAAAGTCATCTTTAATATTGCTTAGCAATTGTTTTGCACCTATAAAAATGAAAACTGAAATTAAAAACTTTACTTTAATATTCTAAAGTAAATTTTTAAAATGATTTTATTTAAATTTTATTGTAACCCTATTTATAATCATTTCATAAAATATTATGCCATGAAAATCTAGTTCATTGAAGTTATTTAAAAAGTAATTCCATTTATATATAGTGCCTGAAGCTTATAATTTATAACAGTCCAATTATAATAAGTTATAATTTCTTAATTGCTTATTGTGCTTTTTACTGATATGTACTCAATAATTCATGCTTGTAGTTACTACTTGCTGAGAGCTTTATATCTTTAGCTAATATTGATTACCTAAAGACTTAGGATTTTAAAAAACCAACGTTAACAGCATAGCCACAGTTATATAATGTTTACAATTAAACAATTGTTGCTATGATGTTATTGTTGGTACTTATAAAAATCTAATAAAGAAATTAATAACTTACAATTTAAAATAATTTAAAGCTGAAATAATTGAAATAAAAAATCTTTGTATAAATTGTTTAAGGATTTAATAAATGTTTACATATTTATATAGACAAATGTTATAATTTATTCAAATAAATTAAGCAACTTTATATATATGTATACATAGACATCCACAGAATTTTTTGATGTTTCTGCTTAGACACTTTCATGCAGTGTGCAAACTCTAGTATGTTCATGAGTATGCCATAATAGGAGGCTTCGCCAAAAATTGCAAGAGTGGAGGCCTGGAAGAAAAAAAAAAAAACAACCTAAAACATTTGACTCTGCTGCCCAAACATGAGGGCAGTGATATAGTATAATTTTCAGATTTATATATCATAAACCAAATTTAAATTCATCAGCAAGTTTTAAATTTCATTCAAAAATGTTGTAAACTACAAAAGTTATGGCCATGCAAAAGTTCTGACATTCTCACCTCCCCTTCTCACCCCCAAACTAAATGAAAAGGTTGATAATTTTTTACTGTCGTAACTTTTTCAATTTACAATACTTTTGAATGAAACTTAAAAACTGTATACGAATTTAAATTTAGTTTAAAATTGTAAAGTTGAAAATTATACTACATTACTGCTCTCTTGTTTAGGCAGCAGGTTCAAACATAGAATTTTTTTGTTCCCAGGCCTACTCCATCACGATTTTATGCTATATGTATGACATCCTCAGTGTGTTTATATTCTTTTTTTAATGTATAGTCTTTATTTTAAATTTTCCACTTGTTTGTTATTGTTATAACTAAAAATCTTTATTGATAAAATATTTGTTACTTTAGAGAATTTCTCCAAACAAAACATCATGGCATCTTGCTTGGATTGTAAAAGAACTAGTTGTATTAGACTGGTTTCATTTTTTAGAAATGGTTTTTATATGTGTCAGCTTAATGATTATTAATCGTATGTCTTCATTTGATCTTGTTTACCAATTTGGACTCATTGGGCTTGTGGAGTTAATTTATTACACATTAAATGTAGCCTGTTGCTTTTTCTTGTTGTATTATGAGAGTTGGGTACAGTTAAATATTAAAATGGTTGTTTTAAACTATAAAGATCCCCTCAAAGAAAATATTTCTCTCTGGTTGAAGATATTAGAATGGTATGCTTCAATTATACGTAAAAATAAACGTCTCAAAAATGTGGTTGATCTCATTCGAACAGAAGATTTTGTTTTTATTGAAGATAATTAATTTAGAAATTCCTATAAATTTGTACATATGAACTATAATATTTTAATATAATAAAAAATAAATAAAAGAAAATCTCAAGCTTATGGTTAGTAAAGGCTGACTAAAGTTTGATTGTTTAATTTTTTTTATCGTAGTGCAATTTTTGTAGTTTTATTTACATTATTATTGTAAATTTTAAAATTTTGTGAATTAGATTCCCTTAAATAAAATTAAATACAGAATGCAAATTAAATAAAATCAGGTTTTATACTAAATCTCGATATTTTTTATTAGAATTTTTAATTTTTTTTATTCTGATTCACTCCCAACAAGGCTGCAAGCAGCCACTATTAAGTTGGGAGTTACTAGAGAAAAAGATAATGGAGTTAAAGATCTAGAAAACGGTTGACGATATTACTTGAAAAATTGAAGGTAATATGAGTCAGGAAAAGGAAGATTGGAGAGAGTTCCAAAGCGTTGAAGTGCAGAGAAAAAGTCTAGAAGAGTAGTTTTTAGAGCATGCAAAGACAGATACAGTAAAATAATGAGACTTTGCTGAATAACAAGTCAAGCGAGAATGATTTTAGTTGATGGAACTAGAGGCGACAACTCCTTTGACAGTATTAGTAAAAAAGAGAAAGAGTAATGCAATTACGACAATGGGAGAGGCACTAGCTTGGCAGAGAGCGGGTCCAATTATGTTCAAATGCGTTTTTGAACTTAATCTACAAAGAGAAAGAGCATTTCATACAGGAACAGTATTCCATACAAAAGATTTGTAGAAGTAGAGAATAGAATCAGGCGTAAGATAATGGCGAGCACGATAAAAGAAATAATCTTAGCGGATGCTAATTTAGCAATCGATTATATATATGAATCGCTAACTTGAAAAAGGGAACATGTCCTGCAAAAATTTACATAACACGTCCCCTTTTTTAAGTTAGCGATTCACATGATCTGCAGTGAACGATAATCCAAGAAAACGAAAAAATAAGACTCAGTAAGAGGATTAAAATTCACAAGCCATTGCGAGCCCTAATCCGTTACAGAACTAAGATCAGGTTTAAGAACGGCTGCCTGTTCTGAGCGATCAAAATAAGGTTTTTTGCTATTACAGGAGTTTAAAGTTGAGTCATCAGCAAATAAAGCCACTTTATAGGCAAGTTTGACACGAAGGTTATTAATCTAGATTACAAGCAAAACGATAAAACCAGAAGTTACTGGAAATAAAGAAGAGTGTTGGCCGTCAAAGTCGCAGCAGTTAGCAAAACAGTCGTCGAGCGAGAGAATGGCAACACCGCTACACTTTCCTTATTTAAGCTGTATTACTTAAGGTTGCTGTAGCAAGTTATAATTAAAAATAAACGTTTTTTAATCTCTGAATCATTTTTGCTGTTTTAAAATCCGAAAAAAAAAAAAATTCTATTAGTTCACATAACTTGTTGTTTTATTTATTTAATATAATATAAAATATTTTTCTGAATGAGGGTTTTATTACAGATAACCTTTTGCATCGAACTATTCAGTGTTGTACCTAAGGCCATGTAGTCGTTTTGTTCATAGGGTCATAATTTTTCCCCCTTTAATCACAGGATTTAATCACAAAGTAGGCTATCAAATTAACAACTTAAATAATACCTAAAACCCAAATGGTATGTAAAAATGAAAAAATTTAGTAAATAAAGCAGGTATCTAAATAAAAATAAAAAAAAGTATGCAGAATGCAATTTCTTAAAATAAAAAGAAAAAGTTTACAAATTATTAGAAGATAGTTAAAGAAGGGTTAAATGAAATGATTTTTATAACACATAAAACATAAAAATTTTTTGAGCGTGGACATAAATATGAGTTTATGGCACTTCAACAGTTTGCAAGTATATCAAAGTGTGTGGATTTTTCTATCGTCCAGATGATTATAATTATGGAGCAAGTCCAGCCTTGTTTCACAATTTTTTTTCTTTTCTTTTTTTTAAGTTGATTTAGGTGCCCTTACGGTCTTATCACAGAGCACCGCGGAAGAGCATTTAATAGGAAGTTCACGCCTCCTTTTTTTTTTTTTTTTTTATTTTATTTATTTCGTCATTAAATGAATAATCTTTTACAATGTTTTTTTACAACATAAAAATTATAACATTAAAGTTTCAACGGGAGCTGGCAGAAGACATGATCTTATCATCCAGCCCCGTTAATATAACTAAAAAATTCAGCCGATAAAAATGAAAAAGGAAAAAAGAAACTAAAGCAAGAACTGATTTTAAGAAGAAAAGAACTTTAAAATCAAATTATTATTTACAGAAAGAGAAAAAAAATAAATATTAATTATTTCTTCTCATTATTATTATTTTTTTTAATTCTCTATTTTATTCTACTTTTATTTTTATTATACACGCACGCACACACACATACGCACACGTACACACAAATATATGTCTGTTCATATATACATACAAATCAAATAAATCTGTATTACATTCCATCTACAAATTGCGTAAGATATAATAAATATTGCATTTACAAGTTACGTTATTATTGTAAAATAAAATAATATCATACACGTTCTAAGTACCATACAATATAATTGTGATGTTGAGTCAATTTATAAGACATTAAATAACTAAGATTACTAAAAGTTTTTAATAATACGATAGTAATTGCTTTGTGTCAAAACCAAATAAGTATTGTTTTGTTGCAAGTTTAAAATGTTGAGTTGAATTTAAAGTTTTTATATTACTTGTTAAAAGCAAGTTCCATAACCGCGGCCCTCGGCAAGATATCGAAAAATCAGCTTGTTTTGATAATGTTTTTGGTATAATAAAATTATTTGTTGAGTATTTAGTTTCGTATTTGTGGTTTAAAGAAAAAAAATAAGTTTGGAAAATGCTTGGTAGCATACCATTTTTAAACTTAAACATGAAAATAAGTATATTAAGAATATTTATTTCATAGACATTAGGCACTCCAATTTCTCTTAGTAGTGGTCTGGCACTAGCGTGTTTATTTGCATTTAATATCAAGCAAATTGCTCGTTTTTGTATTTTGTAGATCATATTTAACTTTGAAGGATAAGTACTTGCCCAGATAATGTTGCCTCCTTCCCAACCGATGTCGCAAAACTTCCCAAAGGTGGGGTTTGAACCACGGATCTTACGTTTTTGAGGCAACTGCGCTACCACTGCGCCACGGCTGCTAAATTAAAACACAAGAAAAAAAGTGACAGTCCCTTCATCCATTTAAAAAACCAACCTCAATATTATGCACAGGCTTAGCTTAAACTACTATGTACAAAATACAAATACTGCATTTTACAATCTTATCACCCATAAACAGCAAGCTCAAATTACTTTATTATTCAAATCAATTATTTAATGATGTCAATTATCAAGGAAATACCAGATAGCATTTTGCATTCAAATCGAATAAAAAAATAAAACCATCAAGAATATTCTTTGCTCAATTTCTCTTGGAAATAATATTGTGGGAAAAATTGCAGATTTTAAAGAACTGAAACCACTTAGATCATATATTAGAGAACTTGTTGAAACATCAATTCCTTCATTAAAATAGGTTTAAACATTTAAAAATATTTTATGATTAAAAATAAAATAAGTTTTTATATGCTTATATATATTCACAATATATTATTTATTACAAGATATTATATTATATAATTATATATAAAAGTCAAAAAGTTAACTTCTAATCGTTTGTTTAAAAAAAAAATTAATTAAGTAATGAATTATTCAATAAATAAGTTACCAATTAAATAAAGTGTTTAAATTGAATTTGGCGGAATATACCTGCTTACAGATAAAAAAAGAAAAAAAAAGAAAGAATGAAAAAACAAGAATGATATTCAAATTTAGATAATGAAAATTTAATTATTAATCAATGAATATAAGTCTAGTTGAAAATAATACAAATAATATTTCATCAACTTGTTGCTCGCACGTTTGGGACAGGAGGGGGGAATTTTGGGGCTTTTTGTTCCCAAGCTCCAGTCATTGCAATTTTTTTGCAAAGCATCTTTATTTTACATAAGTATAAACATATAAATGTTTAGAGTTTGCTCTATGTCTGGAAGTCTATTATTGTTATATGGTTAATATTTTTATCATAAACTTCATCATTGTTAATCTTATTAATATTAATATCTTTATTTCTTTATTATTTTTTTATTTGTAAAAAAATTTCTACGATTATGTCTAAACTGCTAAGTTTGTGATAAAAGTATTCGTGCTAATCATCATTCACTTCAATGCAATCACTGCCGAAGTTCAATCAAAAAGAAATGTGCTTCTTTAAATAATAGTGATTTTAGTATATTAAAAAACTCTTCCATGAATTATTGGCTCTGCATTACATGCTGAAACAGTATTTTTTTTCTTTTAGTTTTATACCGAATTATGAACTACGTCTTCAAACTTCAATTGACAATATATTACATCTCAATGATCTTTCAAATGAACCTTTCCTTCTTTCCCTGCTCCCGAGAATCTGATACTTTTAATCAACTTAATAATTACTTTACTTATCAGCTAAATAACAACGGCGATGATGATACAAACATAGTTGAGAACCTAATTAATTGTAAATAAATTGACATTAAAAAATTTAACTCTTCAAATATCAATATTAATTGTTTTTCTCTATTTCGTTTAAATATCGCTTTATTAGTTAAAGATTTTGACGAACTAACTTCACTTTTTTCTCTAATAAATTATGAATTTAGTATAATAGGAATTACAGAAACTAAACTGAAATCTGATTTACTCCCCTTAACTCCAATAAATCTTAATGGATATGTTTATATACGTACTCCAACAAAACTTCATTTGGTGGTTTCCTTTACTTTATATTTTTAATAAATTAATTTATAAATCTAGAAATGATTTACTTATGTATAAACCCTAATTGTTAGAGTCTGTGTTTGTTGAAATCATTTTCCCTAAAAAGTATAATATCATAGTAGGCTGTGATTATCACTATCCTAACATGGATATTAATGAATTTGTTGTTTCATATCTAGTTATT